ACTTGGCACCTACGCCGTCGTGGCCTTTTATCCCACCAGCAGCACTCGCACCACGGCTGCGCCTGTGACAATCACAGATGCGGCGAATAATGTCGACACCGTGTACATGGACATGACCGTGAGTGGCCACGGTCACCTGGTGACCCGACAGCAGGTATGTATCCGTACACATGCCAGCAGGTGAGGTAGCGACCGCTCGAAGCGTCATCGGTCTCACTTTTGATGTATCCCTCCAGTTTCCGGTTGGCTCACTGCAAGTGGAGTTTTCCAATGTGGTCGCAACCAACGCTCTTGGCTTTGTTAACGTCGATTCAGTGCTGTTGGTGTTGCTGGAAGAGAGTACGTGGCAGCTTTTTGTCTTGGTGGCGACTACTTCCGCGACTTTGTCGTTTCTCTCACCTTCCTGTCAACTTGTTGATTCCTCGTGAGTCTAGCCTGCGATGGTATCAACACGACCACTGAACAGGGCGACCACATTGTGAAACGCTGCAAGCTCATGACACCTTGCTCGGCCGGCGAATATCGCGTGCGTATGACAGCACATGTGAATTATTTTCAACAATCAGTTCGTGCATCCCTGCCTAGTCTCCTCACGCGTCTCCGAAACGATCGTGCGATCTTGTGAGAACAGGCCGATGTGGATCTTTGCCTGCCCTGTCCCGAAGGCTCATACAACAACTTAACCAACGCCATGTCGTGCAATGAATGGTCCACCTGCCCTGCGGGATGGATTACGCACGTGACTCCGACAGCTACTTCAGGTGCGTAACTGCTCTTGACGCAGGCAATCGCTCGCCCAAACATGCTCGCCCAAGAGAATGCTTGCTGACCTGGATTTGTATTGCTTTTCACTTCTTGGCCAAACCAATAGACCGCGAATGCCGACCCTGTGATGAGAGCGAGTATGCCAGCGAAGACACTTGCCACCCTTGCACGACCAGGTCTGTTGACGTGCCACTGTCTTGCTTCTGTCACGTCTGGTCCATTCTGATTCTAATGTTACTTGTGACATTTGTGCTCAGCTGTCCGGACGGCTTTCACGTTGCGGAAATTTGTACGGCCACCACGGTAAGCTGATACAACACCAAAGCACTCAGTCAGACGCTCTTGTTGTCGCTGTCCTTATAAAACGGCGGTATTTTTAATGCGCTCATATCTTTCTGAACTGGCAGGACACGGAGTGTGATCGCAACGTACCCTGTGACTACAATACCCAGTACATTGAGTCAGGCAACGACGGCACCAACGATGTTGTCTGCGGTGCTTGCCGTACCTGCCAGCCGGGCGAGTACGTGGCCAGTAACTGCAATGGCGTGGACAACCGCGTCTGCAACGCCTGTGACGGAGAGACTGGGTTCAGCAGCACCACCAACGCTGCCAGTTGCACGGGTGTATCGCAGTGCTTTGCCGGGTCATACATCTCGCAGTCGGCCACGCCGACATCGGACTTGGTGTGCGACGTCTGCGCACCCGGCACGACAGACCACGACAACACGGTGACGACGGCCTGTCAACCATGCAGCGCGGGAACGTATGTGGCGGCCGGGGCCACGGGCGCGTGCTCCACGCACGAGTGCCCGGCGGGTACAGCGGATACGGACAGCGATCCGACGACGGCGTGCGAGGCATGTTTGCCGCAGCAGTTTCAGTCGGAGCCGAATGCAGTGACGTGCCAGACACCGCGTGAATGCGGGGCCGGGGAGACGGAGCAGACGGCGTTTACGGCAACGACGGATCGGGTGTGCATTGCGTGTGGAGCGGGCAAGTACAAGGGGACGTCGGGCAACGAGGCATGCGTGTCGCACACGGTGTGCGGGGCTGGGTTTGGTGAGACGATGGCGCCGACGTCGAGCACTGATCGGGTGTGCTCGGGGTGCAGTGTGGGCGCGACGTTTAACGACGGAGGAAGCCAGGCGTGCGGGGCGTGCGGGGCGTGTGATGGCGAGGCGGACGAGTTTATCTCGCAGAACTGCACGGCGACGTCGGACACGGTGTGCGCTACTTTTGAGGGATGCGAGGCCGGGGCGTACCAGACGCGGGAGAGCGACGGGGTGCATCCGGCGCAGTGTGCGTCGTGCCGGGTGTGTCAGGCGGGGGAGTACATGACCGCGGATTGCGAGGAGAGTGTGGATCGTCAGTGCTCGACGTGTGGTGCGGGGACGTTTAGCAACGGGACGAACCTGGAGGCGTGTTTTGCGCATCGGACGTGCGATGCTGGCACATACCGGTCAGATAGCGGCACGAGCAGCAGTGATGTGGTATGCACGGCTTGTGTGCCTGGCACGATCGATGACGACAATGACCCCTTGACCCCTTGTGTGGCTTGTCCGGTGGGCACGGAACAGACAGCCAGTGGCCAGTTTGAATGTACTCCATGTATGGCAGGGTGGGCTGACCAAGATGCCGATCCGAAAACAGCCTGTACTCAGTGCGTGGATCAAGTCAGTTACCAATCCTCGGCTGGACGCACACGGTGTATTGCCGTGCTGGATTGCTCTCCTGGTGCACGCGAGAGCGAAGCTCCCAGCTTGACATCCAACCGCGGCTGCGAAGCTTGCTTCTTGGGCGTGGACTACAGCACCGACATCAACAGTGACTCCTGTACGGACACGACGCTCTGCCAAGCGGGTCAAGAGGAGGCCACGGCGGCCAGTACCACCTCAGACCGCACCTGCCAAGCTTGTCCCGAGGGTACCTTCAAGGCTCAGGCCGATCAGGCGGGCCCGCATCCTCCGAAATGCGCGGCCTGGCAAGTCTGCGCAGCACCGAACACTTACGTCTGGCGTGAAGGCAATGCCACGCGCGACGTACTTTGTGCACAAAGTCGTTCGGTGGTCTACCTGTTCTCAGAAGCATTCAGCGTTGTGCCCGGCTCGGCGGAGGAGACAGCAATCTTGGCGGCCTTCGAGCGGGGCTTGAACGCCAGCAGTCCTTTCCGGTATGTTTTTTTTTTTTTTTCCTCCCAATGCATGTAGACCTGGTTTTCCTCGTATTCATTGCGTGCGATGCCGTTTTGATTCCCCCTCACAACTAGGCAAAATCTGGTGGATGTGGCTCCGATTTATGATCCTTCGAGCCGGCGTCGCGACACTCGCTCGCTGCTTGGTGGCTATGGCATGTTTGACAACTCTACCCTGAACCAGACGGACGATGCTGATTTTGGCGTCGAGTTTTCGTTCGATTACAACGGCACCGCTGTCACAGCTGAGGTCTGTCATCCTACACCGGACTTTTGAATGGAAATTGCGGCCCACCGTCATGTCTTGCTCCGCGTTTATGCGTCACCTTACGCTTCTCTCTGGTTGCTTGTTTTCTTTCGAGTAGCTGGGTGTTGTTCCAACAACGCTGGCTCCAACCACGACAACGTCGCCTGCCAGCGCATCCAAGGCTGTACGACCGCTGTCCCTCTTTCATTTCGAACATTTTTGCTGCCACCATGGCTTGCAGCATCAATTGCGGTGTCTCAATGGTGACGCGTCTTATTGTGTAGGGAAATTCGGATGCTGTTGTTTTGGGCGCCTCCATTGGCGCCAGCGTGTTGGGACTGGTGCTGGGCGTGGCCGTTATTTTGTTCATTCAGTCTCGTCGTCGCAAGCGCACGCGCAAAGCAGAGCAGCGCGAAATGGTTGGCTTTAGCAACCCCATGGTAAGCTCATCAGCCCACTGCTTGTTATTTCTGCATGGCATGATCATTCTGCGAATGGGCGAGTGTTGACCATTGCCCTGCTGTTTTCCGCGCACAGTATGATGCCAATGAGCGCGAAAACCCAGTGTATGACGGCGATGCCAACGCGGGTCTGGGGGATGAAGATGCGCCTTATGACGAAGCAGGTCATCAGGATGGCGGTAAGTGGCGGGACGCGTCAAAGACATGATGTTTTGGCAAGCCAAATTTGCGATTGCACTCACGTCACTGCCATGCTGTTTTGCTCTTGCAGCTGGGCACTACGACAATGAATTTGGCGGCGACTTTCAAGAGGAGGGCTGTAAGATTTGCTGCGTTTTTGTTGTTTCCCCTTGTGACGCTGTGGCTGTTGTCTCCTTGTGTTTTTGTTCTCCTCTTTGGGTCTTGTTGGCATGCAAAGCATGCCCCTCACGAGCGGATGATTCATTTATAGATTTGAACGTGGGCGAGCAGAAGGAAACAGCCGATGTCGAGGATGTGGGATATCTCAACGCCGAGGCGGCAGATTCCGAGGACATGGGCTATCTGGAGGCCGACCCGGTGGACCATGACGAGGCCGAAGACACGGGCTACCTGGAGACCGAGTACAATGAACGTACTCACCGTGATGGTTTCGGCTTCTAAGAGCCGTCCAATACTTTTCGGCCTTTGAAGGTGTTTTCCATACCCCTTGTTTTTCTTGTTTGTGGGATGCTGCGACTTTGCCTGCGCTGGTTTTCAACGCGCGCCGCCGATGGTATGTGCATGGTCGTTCGACCAGGGATGCCGGCCTCGGCTCGTGTGTTTTCGAGCAGGCCCTCCCTGTGAAATGTGTGTGTGGCTTCTATCGTTTTCTTTTCAACACCAAGGGTCCTTTCCCTTGGATATTAGAGTAGTTTTCTTCTTTTTCTTTTTTTTCTTCCCATTGGCTGATCTTGCTTTGCTTCTTTTTCAAGGGTCAATCGATAAAATGACAGTCTCTCCCGACCGACTCCATCCCCCCCGAATCCAATCCATCAGCACCGACATCAGCCCGCTCATCTCGACCACCACCACCAGCAGCCATCCCATATAAGAAAGAGGGACACAAAAACGTGAATCGACACACACACACACACATAACTCTCTGTTTCTCTGTCTCTCTGTCTCTCTCTTTTATTACATGTGGTAGTTGTGCTTTTCTCTCTCTCTCTCTCTCTCTCTCTCTCTCTCTCTCTCTCTCTCTCTCTCTCTCTCTCTCTCTCTCTCTCTCTCTCTCTCTCTCTCTCTCTCTCTCTCTCTCTCTCTCTGTCTCTCTCTCTCTCTCTCTTGTCATTTTTTTGTTACACACACATCATCAGAATGTGGTCTTGTGGTGCGGCGGCAGCGGCCGTGGTGGCTGTGGTTGTACTGGCTAGCCCGGCGACAGCGACCGTGGCCCGGTTTGTGGAGCAGACGGATGTGCAGACTACCTATGCCTCGGTCTTTTATGTGGAGAGCGACGACTCGTATGTGGTCAAGACCGAGAATCACCCCTGGGACGGCGACTTTGAGGTGTGTGATGCGATTTCTGGAGGAAATGAATGAGCTGCGAGTGGGCCGAACCCGGGGTCGCAGGCATCCTGCGCGCTTTGGGAGGGCTTTGACTTTTACGTTTGGCTGGTACTACGAACGTTCTCACGTTGAGATTCTTGCCTGGGCCTTGCGCACCGGTCATTATCGATGCTGATGGTGTTTATAGAAGGATGAGGCGGTGCGCATCAAGTACACGCCGGGCTATCTCGTTGCGGGCTGGGACCAGCTCCATGTCAAGTCCAACTCTGCGATGGATGACGCTACGGTTGCCTATGCTGCTGGCTACGGTGAGGCTCAACTCACGGCAGAGATGATTTACAACTATGCCTACAACAACGGCTACGATACCTTTACGCCAAACGATAAATTGGCCGACTACCTGGCGAAGAACCAGGCCTTTATGGCTGCCTCCATCGCCAGCAACCGCTCGGATGCCAACGGCTACTGGTATCACGTAGACCTGATCCTGCGCCAGCTGCAGGGTGTCTGCGATGGTTACAACAGCTCCGACTTTGCAAAGTCCTTCCCTTTGCCCTGTGAGTCCATGCTTGCCATCAATCTCATGGGTGACATGGAGGATCTCTCTGATGCCTTGGCCTCGAGTGACGAGTGGTACACGGAGGACCGTTTCTTCCGTGCTACCCACTGCTCCGCTCTGGTCAAGCTTGTTGGCGGTGCCTCGAGCCCCTCGGACATTTACATTTCCCAGGACACGTGGTCCTCTCTCAACTCGATGACCCGCATCATGAAGCGCTATGACCTCAACTTTCTCCAGTACGTCGTCGTGACACGCACACGGAACGAACGCATCTCACCGTGTTGTCTTGAACCCAGCCATGGCATTTTACTCACTACAGCTCCTGCAAACCTGGTTCTTTCTGCCTTATTAGAGCCAAGGGTGCTGATGACCGCATCGCGGGCTCGAGCATTGTTTTTTCATCCTATCCGGGTTCGCTCTACTCGGGTGATGACTTCTACCTGACCTCAGCGGGCATGGCTGTCATTGAGACCACCATTGGCAACAGCAACCCTGAACTGTACCAGTACATCGTGCCCGACACGGTTCTTGAATGGATCCGCAACATCATGGCCAACCGTCTGGCCTCCAACAGCCAGACCTGGTATGAGGTGTACCGTCAATTCAACTCGGGCACTTGTACGTTTCTTGACCGGGTCTGCAGGGCATGCGCTCTACTTTCTGCACTCGCTCGCCAATTGTGTTCTTGAGGTGGATCTGCTCAACAACCACTCTCATTGATATCGGCCTTGGCTAGACAACAACATGAACATGATCCTGGACTACAAGCAATTCAAGCCCCAAGAGGCTCTGCAAGACGAACTTCTTACCATCGTTGAGCAGATTCCTGGCACTGTGACCAAAACCGATGTCACGGGCTATCTCCGCAACATGACCTATTGGGGTAGCTGTACGTGTTTCCGCCTTGTCTTCGCCACGCTCCCGCGTGGGCGTGCCTCGCAAACTTATTCCAATCGCACTGGCGCACTGCACGTCCTCTAGACAATGTGGCCTTTGACCAAAACATCCGCGAGCTGAGTGGTGCCAACCAGGCTGAGCAGCTCTATGGTCCTTGGTAAGACGTTGCTGCCGCTGTCGCACCGAGCATATCGGCTCTGTCCAAGGCTCAATATCGCCTTTGGCGTTGGTTTTTGCAGGTTTAGCTACTGGAACACCAGCCGTGCGCTGATCTTTGCACGTGAGCAGAAGAACGTCAGCTCACTTGAGGACCTTAAGCGTCTCATGCGTCTCAACCAGTTCAAGACTGATCCTCTGTCTGTCCAGACTGCCACCTGCGAGTACGTGTAACTCTTTCCGGGCCAACGTCACAGAATAGTTTTGGCCTCTTTTTTTTTTTTTTTTCTTCATGTCCTCTCCTTATGTGTCGATAATTCGGATGGATAGGTACCGTGGATGGACCAACTGCACGCCTGCATACACGGCGGAGAACGTCATTGCTACCCGTGGAGACTTGAATGACCCGGTAACAGCAGCACCGACGCCTTGTCCTACCTGCCACACCCTACGCACTCACCTGCTTGATATTGTCGTGTCTTCTTTCTTTTTGTTTTTTAGAATGGCATTTACAGTCTGTCATCCTTCGGTTTGCGTAATCATGTGGCAACAGACTCAAAGATCTCTACCTTCTCCACCTACGATAGCAACAACCTCAACGTTTGGGCCATCAGGTGCGTTTTACATGCCCTTCATGTGATCTGCATGTTGAAATGCGTTGACCTGTCATCGCTGGGCAAGCCCATGGTATGGTTAGTCTGCCGGGTGACTCATGCAACTTTTGTTTTGTCCGACCTGGGTAGTGGACCTACAAACGGCCCACCCCCGAACCAGCCCGTTTTCAACTGGAGCACTTCCTATTACAAGGACACCCGTCATCGCGGCATGCCAGAGGCCTTTGATTTTGATTGGGTCAACTTCAACTGGCCGTTTTGAGCTGCCGGCATGTAGACCGAGCACACACATCAAACTAGATCATTGCCTTGTCGGTGCAACTTTCGACTGATGCATATCGCGCTGTGCCCAGGAAGAAATCAATTGACATGGAGTGCTTCAGCATCGGCATTCCGTGCATGTACGTGCAGGTGTTTCATTTTCGTCCATCAAGCCTATGTTCAAAGTAGAAGCGAGTGCAGGGAGCAATCGCCATTGGGGAAGCCAACTTAGATGGCGGGGCAGCCGAAATCATGAATATTGTCTGAAATGAAGGGCTGGCGGAAGGCCCAAGAAAGATTGTTCTTGGGCACTGCCTGAGTGGGATTGTAGTATGTAGAGGCGCTTTGTGGACCCATGAGCGTGTCAAAGAAACAGCCAATCCAGCAGGATGAGGTCTGGTTGGTGGGTTGTGGGCAGTTGTCAAAGCAGCGCGGGCTGAGCTGAGTCACGTAAGCGGCCATGTGCTTGTCGGAGCAGGTCTTTGAAATGCGCTTGTGCACCTCGACGACTCGCCAATAGCAGGGCGCCGCCTCGTTAGTGCTGTTGCAGCGACCGGTTGCCACAGTGGAAAACCAGTTTCCACCCAGATATTGAGCCAAGTTGTACTTCCACCACTGCCAAGTGTAGCCTTGGGCTGCTCAAGACGCAATAGGACCAAGTCGAGGGTGGGTAAGCTGGGGTTCAACTGCATTGCCGGGAGAACAAGTGCAAACGTACGACGCCAGACTGAGATACGCACCAGGGATTTCAGGCTTGTGTCCAGCAGCCACGTCTTCGCGGCCAACACGCTCATCACACGTCTCATTGGGATAGCAAACACAGTTGTAGACGCCTGCCAAAGACACGAGCATTGAGACGACGCTGGGACGATCGCCTCGATGCATGCCCTCGCAGCGGAACATACCATGCACGTCGTTGCAGCGTGAATAATTGGTAAAGCGTGAGTCAACCTCGAGAATGACCTCCGTGATGGCGAGATCAGAGGTATTGGTGGCCTGCGGGTGAGCAGACAACGAGGGGTCCGACATCAGAGGAGCAATGAAACCTGGCTTGCGTGCGGCGAGAGGTTTGAGCAGCAGGCATGGACAGCAATTGGGAATGTGGCCACGTGCTGGCCTTTAAAATTCTGGCACCGACCTCGGGATTATTACAGTCCATGGAGAACGGATCAATGGCACACTCGAGGGGTGAAGTCACCTCGCTGTCGTCGCCATCGCGATGTGAGAAGCGGCACAGGCGTCGGGCGGCGTGGGTGGGACAAGCTGGGAAGGTGCTAGACAGCGCGGGGGGGTGCAAACAGGCCGCACCGAAGATCAAAGTAAAGGTCCCCAAAGACGTCTGCGGTGTTCATGTTGGTGACGTCGCCGGCGGTGTAGTTTTTCTAGTCGCGTCCAGTCCCAGACGTCAGCCACGGCGCAGGGGGTGTGCGACACCACACGTAGGCACCGGCGCAACCCACCTCATTGACATGATACACCGTCATGTTGATCGCGTAGGCCGGATCAATGGCCGCCTCACTCACGGCCACCAAGACCACGACCAAAGCGCCGAGTCCGGCCACGGCCGTCGCCATGTTGTGCCGCTGCATCCTGTTCGACGTGAGCTTGATCAAATTCTTCAATAACTGAAACTATTTCTACATTAAGCCACCCTATATACATTAATAAAACTGCATAAAGTCCAAACGTTTATACATAAACTTGGTTCAGACCGTTGGTGTTGACATCGCGACAAGATTTCTTCAACAAGTACTAAAAGTTCAACACAAAGTAACATTGATGCTCCATTGCTATCCGCATCTTCTTATTTTTTATATTCGAAAATCCTGAGAGGGGCGTTTGTTATTCGCCGACGCGCCGACACGTCGAACCGCGAGGGCAGGGCAGGGAACATGGTTCAGGACGGTGCTCAGCGTTGTGACAGGGATGGAAGGGGAGAGGATCGCCAAGTCAAAAGGGCGTTGTAATGGTGTCTAAAGCTCGGGAATCAATTTTCACGAGCCGAGACAATGCACATGGTCAAGACACGTAGAGAGACACGCTTCGCGCGCTGGGAGAGACCCTCGGTCCAGACTCTGTCCCGCAAGAGATCACAAAAACACGACGGGTAGGCACGGCATTGGTGCGTATTACAGGGGACTGGGTTGACGGAGCAAGTGGAACAAGTCGTCTTGCTGTTCACGCACTCGTCGTGAGCGAAGCAAGAGTTGATTGGGCCACCGGGCGCCTGCGCCACAAGCTGGGCCGGGGATCACGGATGACTGTGCCATTACTTGGCAGCCTTGTGGTACTGCTCCTTGGCAGCGTGTTCAGCCGACTTGGCGCCGTCCTTGATGGCATCGCCCGCCTGCTTGGCGCCGGACTTGGCGTCAATCGATGCGTTCTCGGCATTGTTCTTGGCCTTGGTCTGCTTATCCGAGGTAAAGCTAAGCGGGCATCGAGCACCAAAGACCTCGTTACATAAGCACCGGCCCGCCTCACACACAAATCACACATGCCAGAGGGAGCAAAAGCCGACGGGAGCAGAGAGCTGGACAAAGGGAATTGACTTACGCATTCTCGACCTTGTTGCCCATCTTGGTCATCTTGTCCGACATGGTCGACATGGTGGCGGTTTTGGCTTCTGAGATAGAAGGAACGAGGAGAGTTGAGGAAGTTCTGGATCTTGCTTGAAGAGTGCTGGTTGTTGCTGTCACTGGAAGTGATGTTGTAAAATGCCATCTCCAGCGGCTCGCCCGCCACTTGTACCTGGTCGCCCTGCCGGTGCGTGGAAAGACGGGATCGAGGGCAGCGGAAGCAGCAGTGCCCGTGTCATCGATCGAATGGGCAAGCCAACTGGAGCCCTTCATTGGCAAGCCCGAGCGTCTCAGCCCGCACAGCAGCAGACAACATGCACCACATGCAGCCCCTTGCCACCGCAGTATCGCAGGCACCACAGAATTCGCTCGATGGGTTGAGAACGGCAGACAAAACCAGCAGGACCGGATGGCATCAGTGTCAAGCCCACCCTACCCCCTTGCGCCCGCTATCCGTCTCCTTTTATCCTGGCACTTGTCCATAGAACTCGCTCGGTTCCTTCCTTAGGGCTCGCACCACATTGGGTCGTGCGCTTGCGCATGCAGCAGTGTGATGAGCCTGCGGTTGTGTCCAATTTTTCTTCGTTCGCAACTGGGGCGCATCGTCGATCATGGCGCCGTTTGCGCGGTCTGGCTCGCTGATGGCCGATGCTCCGATCCTTCTTGCTGAAACACCTGCGTCACCTTGCCGCTGCCATACGCCATTCGAGCAACGCACGTGCAACCGCACCTTCATACAAGCAGACACTCGAGCGCCTTTCATTCCTTCCTTCGTTTGCTTGACTTTCTCTCTTTTTCGGTATGTGTGTTTGTGTGTGTGTGTGTGTGTGTGTGGGTGTGTGTGGGTGTGTGTCACCTTTTGGATCTGTCGTTGACTCTGGCGCTGGCTCTGTCTCTCGTCCTCGATCGATCAGTCTTCTCTCTGTCTCTCTGTCTCTCTGTCTCTCTGTCTCCCCATCGATAACTCGCTCTGCCTTTGCTTGTGGCTGGTATTGCTCGTTTCTGCATCGCAATCTCAAACGGCTTCTTGGACTTGTCTGACTAACTCACCATGCGCGCTCTTGGCCGTCTTGATCGGTGTCTGTGCTCGTGCGTCGGTCTGTGCATGCCATTCAACGGTCTGACTCGACGACCACTTACACATTGGCGTGGCGCCTCCATCGGTCGAGCATCAGCGCCGCGTCTGGCTCGTCGATCTTTGGTTCTTCGGTGCAAATTTAGGATTGGTATGCAAAGCCACAAACCGCAGAGTCCAAGTCAAACGCCACGAACAAACTAGAGCAAAGACAAATTTATGGCCCCGAATCACCTAGTTGCCCTTGCTATTCTTGCGTTCCAGCTTGGCCTGCTGTTTTGCTTCCTTCTGACGCCGCTTCTCCTCTTCCTTCATCTACACATCCGACAAGTTGGTATCAGGCACAAACGGAGCCCGCAACAGGGAGTTTGGCCAAGGTCTGGTGCATCACGTGAACCCGCGAGAGGCGTCCAACACATTGACGTACCCGCTTTGCCTCGGCCTTTTGTGCCTTCTTATCGGCGGCCGTGGCGCCGGCAGACGCGTCGGTGGTATCATCAACTCCATCGTCAAAGGCAACGGCACCTGCACCCCCATTGCCACACACAGCGTCAGATCACACAGTGGATCAATATTGCGGCGCATTGAATAAGAGGGGTTGATATGAGCGAGATTGCCAACGGGTGCACACGCACTTTTTTCACCCGGAACAGTTTCTTCACCCGAAACAGTTTCTTCACCCGGACCAGTCTCGAGATCGCCAAGCTCCGAGGCGAGACCTGAGCCCCTCGCAAACACATATGTCAAAAGATGCATGTTTCGGGTGAGGTTGCAATCACAACATGGAATGTGGAAGGCGTCGCTCAACGACAAAAGCCCCCGCGCGCACCTTCGACATCAATATCGTCCAAGGCGGCATCAAAGGCCTCCAGTCCTGCGGGATCAAAGTCGTCATTTCCAAAGCCTGCGGCGGTAGCAGCATTGTCCGATGCCGGAGGGGCGTTGCCCTCGGCAGGGGCAAAGGCGTCATCGAATTGCGACGTGGGCTCGGCGGCAGCCGCGGGCGTTGGATCGGAGACTGCAAAGGCGTCCGTTTCTGCCTGGGGCTGGGGCGCTGCCTTGCGTGAGGATGTACGCTCAAGGGCGCTGGGTGTGGCATGAGCTTTGACGGGCGCCGAGGGCGCGGCCTCGAGATTTTCAAAGGCCGCTGCATTGAGCGAACCCAGAATGGCGTTGTTGGCGCCGCCGTGTGGGCGATTGGTACTACGACGCCCACTTGTGGAGCGCTGGCTCGTTGTGCTGCCCGGGGTGCCACCAGCCACGGGTGAGCTCTTCATTGCGCTCGGGCTGAACGGATCAGCAGCGGCAGCAAACGGGTCGGTAGTGGCGGCAAATGGGTCGGCCACCGGCGTAGACACGTTGGCGGCAAAGGGATCGGCCGCGGGGGCCGGGGCTGCCGCAGCGGGGGCTGCACGAGGCTGGGACGCACGTCGCTGTTGCTCGCGCGCTGCACGAGCCTGGGCCACCATTTCCTCCAGCATGTCGGGTGCGATCTCGGCCGTGTCTACGACAAAGTCAGCTCGGAGTTTGCCCACGTTGCCTTGAAAAACACCTTGCCAGGTCTTTTTGCCCTCCACCTTCTTGGGCACCATGACAATGTCGCCAATGTCAAAGTCGAGCCAGCCCTGGCGATTGGAAAAATGTGGGCGAATGGCGCAGCATCGCGCCACGGGGACAGCTGCTGTGTTACCATCCCCAGCAGCAGGCGCACTGTCACTAGTAGCCGTATCTTCGGCAACATCAACCACATAGCTGCGAGGGACCAGGCCGACCTGGCCGTTACAGACGGCCTTGAGCATTCGGTCGTTGTTGAGAACCGAGATGAAGAGAACCTCATCTCGCTTAAAGCTCAGCTCCCCGGGAGCCTGCGCCGTGTAGTTGCCTAGAGCGCGGCATTTGACGCCCATTTTGAAGTGCAGGCTTGGGTCACCGCAACGCTGTCCGGTTGCCGTATCCTCGACAAAGTGGCCGGGAAAGCAACCATTTTTGCCCTTACAAACGCCTCGTAACACCTAGTCGTGAATGAGACCGGGGGAGTGAGGCGTCATCTACCAAAACACACAGTTGCCAACACAGAGGGTGTGCAAAACACGAAAAGAATGGACAGGGCCTCTCTCTTGTTGAGATGGGGAGGCATGGCTTGTGAGATGCAGGAGCGTGTTGGGCACCATTGTACCTTGGTGCTGAGATCGTGTGTGATGACAAAGACAACGTCGTCTTTGTCAAAGGAAATTTCCTCGTCAGATTTGGCAACGTAAGGCGCGATGGCCTTGCAGCGATGCGTCTTGGGCTTGTCGGCATCCTCGGCGGGAGGGGAGCTGGCTGGGACGGAGCTGGGCGCTTCACGCTCATCAGACTCAACCTCCTCTTCAGCTGATGCAGCGGCGGCGGGATCTGAGGCCTCGACAGCGGCTTCGGCGGCCTCGGCAGCCTCTTGGCGACGGCGCTCCTTCTCTGCCTCTGCCTCTTGCTTCTTCTTCTCCGCCTCGGCGGCCTCCTGCTCTTTGCGGCGGGTTTCTTCGGCTTCACGCTTCTTGCGCTCCTTTTCCTCCTTTTTCTTGCGTTCCTCGGCCTCCTCCCGCTCCAACTCGGCCTTTTGGCGCTCGTAGGCTTCCTTTTCTTTTCGTCGTCGCTCCGCGTCCTCTGTATCTGCCGACGTGGGCTTTGGCTTGGGCTTGGGAGCCGGTGGCGGGGGCGCTGATCCAAAGAAGCATCGGGACGAGAAGGTGAGGGCATTGAGAAGGTGAGGGCATTGAGAAGGTGAGGGCATGGAGAAGGTGAGGGCATGGAGAATGTGGTCAAGTCTGGGTGGGAACAGGGCAGCGCGAAAGAGATGTGGCTGGTGTCTGACTGCCACCAACCTTTTTTGGTGGTGCTGGATTCAGCTGAGGGAGACGGGGTGTCGTCGGCCTGAGGCACAACAGGGCCTGTACAGTGGAGCACCGGTGAGCTGTCCGCAGTTCTTGGTCAGATGGCCGGTGGCTTTGGGAACACGCACCTCGACCTGCCATCATCTGCATGAAAAAGGCCTTGTTCCCGGCGGAGGCCTTGCCTGGGCAGAAAAATGAGATCAAGCGTGGCGATTGAGCGTTTTGCTAGAGCCAGGGTTGCTGGGGTTTCTGCCGTGGGGCTACATACTTCGGGCGCCATCAAGACCGTCCATTTCACTGGTGCTGGTTCGACGTGCTTGCGGCACAAGAAGAGCGACGGCAATGTTGAATGCGAGGGACCTGGCTCGCGCGTGCTAGCGGCTGCGTCAATGGGCTCGCTGCAGTGCGAGGCCAAAAAAAAAAAACGGGGGGGAGCAGGGGGGGCCCTATCAGGTGGCACCCAGCGGGGAGAAGTGAGACGCTGTCGCCCTGCACCCATCATGATCGCAAGCACAAGGCCCTGCCAGCACGCACACACGCATCGGAACGCACGGCCAGACCAAAGGAGATCCAGTCTGACGCACACGCACGGTCCCAAACCCAACACCATTTCATGCCTCAAACTCAGCGACATGAAGCCTCTTCCCCATGCATCACGCCCATGATCGTTGCCATCCCTTTGCCTTGCTCAAACCCAGCTCCCGGCGCTGCCATTTGGCAAAACGCCCCCCAGCGCAAAAGAGGTGGGAGCCCACTGAACTCACTTGCAAGACAAAAATACACTTTGCCTTCCTTCTCGCTCGCTCTGTCTCTCTCTCTCTCTCTCTCTCTGACTGGGACGCTCTCAATCTCTCCCTCTCTTGCCTGACTCACACTGTGTCTCTCACTCTCTCATTCCCTCTTGTGTGTGTTATTGTCATCTGTGTCGCTCTGTCTTCCTCTCTGTCTCCCTCTGTCTGCTTTCTTCCTCTCTCTCATTCTCCCACCTTTCCCGCCTCACTCTCTGAAACTACACTCGGTAATGAAGGCTGGAGCAGATAATCTGACATTTTGTCACCAAAATCTGACATTTTTCGAATGTATATAGTCAAATTGGACATACTGTCACTGTCATACACAAACGACTTTAATTACAGCACAAACTATACATTAAAATAGTAATACTAGTGTTATGACGCTTCATAAAGTCAATTATGTGCTACAACAACTCGTAGTACCCACCAACCCCCGCTCCATACAATCTCCCTCTCTCTCTCTCTCTCTCTCTCTCTCACACACACACACACTCTCTCTCTCTCTTTGCTGCCCGCCCTTCACTTGGCGTCTCTGTATTCTTGATGCATCGCAAGCTCTCACCGCAAGCTCTTCCATGACTGAGGGACGACATGACTGACCAGAAAGCGCATCCGCGCTCTGGTCGCGGCTGTGGGATGCTACACCTGGCATCTCTGCTGGCCCTCATCCAGCTCCTGCACAGCGCGAGTGCCTTCAGTATGATCCTCTCCACAACCTGCCTACACCCCATCACCCCTTCCCCCTCACCCCTTCCCCTGACTCCGGCCCAGCTCACTTTCACACCACCTCCACGCCTCCTTCTCGACCCGTGCAGACCATCTACCCACGCGATTGGCATTTGAGTACTATGCTCTCAAGGACAATCCCGACTTTCTCTTGTCCGAAACGGCCACTCTTCCCCACATGAACCATGCCTACCGTACCTCCAATCCGATTTCAATACACTTTCGCCTGGCGTTTGGCAATGGCGCCCCCGCCGCCCCCGGTTTCCGCGAGGTAGCCCATTCCTTCGTGCGCGACTCTCAACCAAGCCCATTGTCCTCTTGTCCCATCGACTCCCCGATTCATCACTCTCATCCCATCTGCTGGCCCTCCCCCAATGCACTAGGTCGCTTTTGAAGCTGGCGATCAAAACCAAGGCTTGACCCTGCTTGTGGCAGATGGAAATCAACTGCAGCTCCTTTACTGCCAAGACCAAGCCGTGCAAGCCACAATTCCACATACCCTCCGTACCGATCAGCGTGGCATGCTCCTCGATATCGTCATCGTCTTGAACGTTGACGAAAACGGCCTTGGCTTTCTGAAGCTTTACCTCAACAACGAAGACCACACCACCTCTGTCTCCAACCCCAACCTTCCCTGGACGAGCACAGATTCCGGATTCTGGGCACCCACACCAAGCACACACGTGGATGCCTGTGGCATCTCATCCGGCCCCAGCAACTTTACCGGCTCGGCTGACCGTGCCTCGGGCTTGCGAATTTACCGCGAACTAGAGTACAACTCTCCCCACGACCTTTGGTGGGCCCTTGCAGACCTCGTGGCCACACCCAACCGCATCCCTTACTCGTGACAATGACCATGACCACGGCCGGTCAACAAACCTCCCCCGTGCGCAATAGGACAACTGCTTTCAGGCGATCTTCAGGCCGTCCTGCAAGTTGCGCCAAGTCATCGCTTTTGGCACCAGTCTGACTTCCCGGCCATGCAAAGCTGGGGTGACGCTAACAGCTGTCTCTCCCCTGCCGTCTTCTACGGCAGCTTTCAGTTTGTGGCTCGTGACCCAAGCTTTCAGCCAGAACTCATCCTTAAAACTGGTCAGTCGTTGGCAGACTCCACAAAGAGCCCGCACGCACTTGCTGGCTGTATCTGATCCGACAATCCTGGCTTGTGTTGCCCCCCTTCCCCTTCTCTACCAGGCTCTAGCACGACCGGCATATCCCTGGTTTACACCGGCACAAACACCCTACTCCTCTCTGTGTGCACTCTTGGCTCGACCGTCACAGTTGAAATCCCCCTCAACCGCCTCCAGTACGGCCCAGACGCTGACTACTTGGATGTCGTGGTGGCCATCATCCCAAACAAAAAGGCTTATCTCATGGTCAACGATCAGGTGGCATACGCCACGGTCAGCTCTGTCTGGGAAAGCAACGACAGTGGAACCTTTATGCAAGCCTTCTCCGACACCGCCTGTGGTCTCACCAGCAGCATCACCCCACTCCATGTCAAGCAGCGCCCTTTTTCGAGTTTTGACGTTTACCTTTTCAAGTCGTGGACGCCCAGTCCGCTTTTGCCCAGTGAGTGTTCCTTGACAGCCCGCCGCGGGGACTAAAGAGAGGCAGAGCGCAAGAAAACCCCCATGCCCCGGCCCGCGACGCTTCCTGCATTTCGGGCCTAACTCGCTTCGTATCGTTGGCTGCAGTTCATATCTGCAACAATGGCGTCTTGACCCTGGACGGTGAAGAACCCATTTGTCTCTGTCAAGCTGGTTTCAAGGGTGAGGTGTGCGATGAAGTTGACGCTTCGGCCCCGCTGCCTGCCTCTTGCCACGACATCGACCACACGGTCAGCTCCGGTGCGCATTGGCTTCGACCTGATCCGACCGCTGATCCCGTGCACCTGTACTGCGACATGGATGAATGGTGCGTTCCTGCGCTCAATGACTTTGAACCGAATACTGACACACACACACACACACCTACCCGGTGCCAACCCAGTGGCCGCGCCATACTTTCACTGCTTTTATCATCCGGCTTGATCCCGTGCTGTGGTTCTTCCGGTTGTATTTGGTTCTTATCTCTTGCACCGTCTCACTGTAGGATGGGTGGCTGGACGTTGTGCGGCAAATATGATGGCGACGCCGCAACGGCGTCCAACTGGGCCTTACCCACGGGTTGGGGTCGATCGCGCAACAACTTCAACATGTCCTACCTTGCTGATCTCACCACATTTCCTGCCGGTGCCCTGACTGTGGCCCATGTGAGTCGAGCCTGGCTCTCAAATTCTCAGAGAGTCATTCTGCCGCCTTCTCTCACCCCCTTTTATGGCACGCTGCCCTTTGCCTCGAACTGAAACAGGATTGCCGAGCATTCCTTGAGAACCGAACATTTGGCTTCTTCATGCATGCAGCGCTGGACAATACAGGGACCACGCTTGCAGGCCTTCGCTTTACCAACATAATGGATGATGCCTTTAGCCACCCGTCAAACCTGTGGGACACTGCCTTTGATACCTCTGCTAGCACGCCCATTCAGAGCAGTGGGCCGGGTCAAGTCAGTATCAAGCTCCAGACATTGGCCCATTTGATCATCTGTGCACTGATAGAGGATCTCCTCGGCTTGTGGGGAATTGCAGGGTCTTCGCTTGCTGGACGGCCAGTCTTGTCGCCCATATGCCATTGATACGTACAACGAGTCTTTGGCAAATGTGGGCAACACGGGTGAGTGGGTCAGCATTGGAAACAGGCATGCCCTACGACGCGTGCCGATCACGCTCTGAGCAAATTGCTAATGTCGATGCTTGCCTGGATGAGAACAGATTGCTCTGGAGGCGGCTGCTATAGCCTGGCCATGCGAGGGGGTATAGTTGGAGACGGCAGCCATTTTTCAGTTCCAGGGCGAGCTGGCGCTTCCTTTTCCAATGGTGCCAATTGCGATGGCACCACCCATGTTGACACGGTAAGCTCGAGCTTCATTTCTTCACGCTCAACCGAGGGGGCAAGCCCTTGCTTTTCCTGACCATCTTTGCCTTCCAGGTGTTTTGGGGCTTTGTCGATCAAGATGGTGCGTCCCCGGACCTGGGCTGTGACAACGATAGCCTCACCATAGGCACAGGCTGCAAATTTACGACTGGTAGTGCAACCAATCGGCCTTCTTTTCGGTTTGTTGGCCATCTTGTTTTTCATTATTTTTTGTTTTATCGATTGTGAAGTTATTTCTTCCTCCGCCCCAAAACGTACATACCTGCCTCCTGGCACTCATGAGAGCTGGCAAACTCCGCGTCTTGTGTCTGTATAATGCAACATTACCAACATTCATAGGTACAACGCTATGTTGATGCGCACATCATCAGCGCCGTCCATGCGCATCGAGAACGAGCTGGGTGCTCCCAACGTGACGCTGCGCTTACCTGCATCACAGACAGCGGTGTCCCATAGCAGCGTCTTTCAAGCTCACCGCAATGCCACCATTGAGTTTGTGGTGAATTTCTTACGCGAACCACACATGAACTGGCAAGAAGTGCTGTTTGAAACGGGCGCGGATGCCATCGGTCTCGCTCTGTATATGCGTGCGGATCATTACTTAATTTTGGCCCAGTGCACCAGCGGCGAGGATCGGGGTGAGTTTCGACCCGACCGCCCGTGTTGGTTTTGAATGGTACTCGGTCAATCTCACGACGTATCAAAATGGCTTTCAGCTGCACCCGTCCGGCTGCAGGCGTCTGACATTGCATCGGGGGACGTGGTGGTGACTCTGACGGTGATGATTGCCTCAAATCAGATTGTGACTTCACTGTACCTCAACCATGCCTTGCGGGCTCGGCTGGACTTTCCTTTCGCGGGAACCAACTGGGCTGGAGCTGACTACACCAGCATCTTCTCACCCACCAGCTTCATGTGTGTGGGTGATTTGGAAGCTGATCGTAAAGGGTCAGGTACCGTGCCCTCGGCGGCTCGCTGGCTGGCACCGTATGGGGTGCGCTTGTACGACGCGCTCTGGACCAATTATGACCGTTGCCTGAGTTTGACTTGTGCGAACGGTGGCACTTGCGTTGATGGTTGGAGTCTTGCACCCACCTGTGTATGTACAGCCGACTGGCAAGGTGAGGCATGCGAGGACGTAGCAACAACGACCTCGACCACAACTACTACGACTACTACTACTACTACTACTACTACTACTACTACTACTACGACCACGACCACGATCACGACCACAATTACAACTACAACCACAACCACAACCACAACCCCGCCCATGATCACAACCCCGCCCATGAACACGACCACGCCCACGACTACAACTACGCAAACACGAATAATGATCTTGACAACAACAACAGCAACAACAACACTGGCGACAACGACGACAACGACGGCATCGACATCCTCAAGATTGTTTGGAAGCACCACGGCGGCAAGCACTTCGCTGGCTCCGCTTGGCGGGTCCGCGTCATCATCTACTGACAAAATGCAGTCCCTGGGTATCGTTTTGGGAGCTGTAGGAGGTGCCGTCATTTTGATTTTGATAGTGGTGCTTCTGATGCATCGTAGCAGGCAGCCAACGGGACAGCGCTCATTGAATGGGGCAAAGGTGTGTATTGTAAATGGACCTTGGCGTCCGCATCGCCACAAGCTCACGTGTGGTCATTTCTGCTCTATATGGAACAAGGACCCGCTTGGAATGAACGAGAGCACTCGGGCCACAAATCCACTTTGTGTGTAGTGGCGCAGCTCGGCAGTTGACACTCGTTATGAAGTTATGGTTGAAACACTCGCATTTCACTAATTTGAAATTGCTCGCTGTCGATTGGGTCTGCTTCCTCATAGTTGTAGGGGACGCGGACGAGTTGAACGGGCACACTGCAGGAGGTGAAATGCGCTTGGCGGGCAGTGACAACCTGTATCACACCCACCCTTTGGTGGACAAAAACCAAGCAAACGCAAGCAAAGCAGCAACAGCTACGGACGTGTACATGGAGCCGGACTTTGACAGTATTTATACGGAGCCAGATATGGGGCCCCCAAGCAAGACAGGCCATCGTGGCGCTCGCCAAACTGGGTCACAGCCTGATGGGCCTATTCTTGATGATGAACAGTATCTGTTGCCTGTCTCCTCGGCCACCTATGACGAGCCTGCGCCTGCGTACGAATACGCAGCCCCGCCACGACATGCGCGGCAGAACCAATACCAGCTGCCAGCTCGTGTCAGGCGTACTGAAAATGAGTATCTGATGCCAGACCCAAATGGTCCTGCCATGTATACGCAACTTCAGCGAGATGCTAGTCAAGAGCAATATGCAGTACCTGAAGATTATGCTTGACCGTCTCGATGCGTGCACATCGCGGTGCCTTCCTGAAAATCAGGGCCTGCTTAATATTAATCTGGTGTCAACTTGGCGCGCATTAGAGATGCGTTGTTTTTATAACTTACTACAATTCCGTGTGAATCGAGCATCCCATTCACTTGTACACCTTGTTCCTTTTTACCCAGTTGGCAGAAGCATCACTCGAGCGCACACTGTTCTCTACCCCCCACACACGCGCACGCACGCAGGCATAAGCTACAGAGTCCCACGACACAACTGATCATCGTTGGCCTGTCTCGACTGTGTATTTGTATTCTTCCTCTCAAGCTCTCAGCCACTCTCTCTCTCAAACTCTCTCTCTCCCAAACTCTCTCTCTCAAACTCTCTCTCTCTCTCAAACTCTCTCTCTCTCTCAAACTCTCTCTCTCCCAAACTCTCTCTCTCTCAAACTCTCTCTCTGTCAAACTCTCTCTCTCTCAAACTCTCTCTCTCTCAAACTCTCTCTCTCTCAAACTCTCTCTCTCTCTCTCAAACTCTCTCTCTCTCTCTCTCAAACTCTCTCTCTCTCAAACTCTCTCTCTCTCAAACTCTCTCTCTCTCAAACTCTCTCTCTCTCTCTCAAACTCTCTCTCTCAAACTCTCTCTCTCTCAAACTCTCTCTCTTTCTCAAACTCTCTCTCTCAAACTCTCTCTCTCAAACTCTCTCTCTCAAACTCTCTCTCCCACGACACAACGACACAACTGATCATCGTTGGCCTGTCTTGTATTCTTCCTCTCAAGCTCTCAGCCGCTCTCTCTCTCAAACTCTCTCTCTCTCCCAAACTCTCTCTCTCTCAAACTCTCTCTCATTTTTTTCATGTTTCTTGGAGGTACGAGCCACTGGCGCGCACTGGCTGAACAAGAGGGCAGGCAGCGGGTGTGCATGGGGTGAATGCAATGATCATACCAATGGTGCCAGCATACGCTGGCAGTTACAAACACGGCTTTGGCAAAGGGTGGTCGGTTTATCGAGGCATCAGGGATGTGTTGACGGACGGACGTGCAACTTATCCTCCATCTTCTTCGATCAGTCAGTCGGCAACACTAGATCCTTGAACAATCATCATCATGGCAAGCCCGACCATCACGCTGCGCACAGGCCGCAAGATGCCCCAGGTGAGGCTAGACTGCACCATGGCGCTCCATTGCTACTGTTGTGATGTGCTGCGATGCCTCACTTTGAATGACTGACTGACAGGTGGGCCTGGGTACCTGGAAGGCTGGTCCTGGCGTTGTGGCCAAGGCGGTGGAGACAGCCCTTCGTGCTGGTTATCGCCATCTGGATTGGTGAGTCGGCGACCCAGACGCTCCAGCAGGCCTGGGGCAGACAAAGCAGAAGCAAGGCTGTCAGTCGCCAATCTCACCCTACTATGCCTCTGTGTCATCACCCCCCGGCCCAATCCATCCTTTGCAGCGCTTGCGACTACGGAAATGAGACCGAGGTATGCCCCTCTGCCGGCCGAGCACCGCCTTTTTCAGCATGCCGCACTCGCTTGATAGCATGTCAGACTTCACAAGCTCACGCAGCGGGCTGAATCCTTGAACAGGTTGGCCAGGGTATCAAGGCTGCCATTGATGCCGGCGTGTGCCAACGCGAGGACATCTTTGTCACCAGCAAGCTCTGGAACACTTTCCATCGCAAGGTCAGCCGTGTGTCGCCAGACCAGAATGCTGACAAGCTTACCGTCCGTTCCTCTCATTGACGGCAATACCTCGATGATAGGAGCATGTGCGCCCTGCCTGCGAGCGCACCCTGAAGGACCTGGGTCTGGACTACGTCGACCTGTACCTGATCCACTTCCCCATCTCGCTCAAGTATGGGGATATTTGGGCGTGTTGGTTTTTTTTTTTTTTTTAACCTCAAAGGTTTACAAGCAGATCGTATCTGAAAGTGGCAAAGCATTGGTGAACCCCTGCTCACATTTTTGTTGAGCTTTGCAGGTATGTTCCCTTTGAGAAGCGCTATCCTCCCGAGTGGTTCCACGACCTCGATGCGGCCAGCCCTAAGATGGAGCTGGACCCGGTCCCCATCAGCGAGACTTGGGCCGGTGAGTTGACGAGCACCTTGTTCAATGCATTTCCAACCCAACCCCATGCCAATTGTCCCCGCTGATTGGATTTGACGCATGCTTGCCGCCCTGCCGGACAATGTTGATCATAGCCATGGAGGAGCTTGTTGATGCCGGTCTGGCCAAGGACATTGGTATTTCCAACTTCAACTGCCAGCTTATGACCGACCTTCTCTCCTACGCTCGCATCAAGCCTGCCGTCAACCAAGTATGGCAGTGGGCCTTGGGTGTCGCCTTTTCGCCTGTGCTGCTTTGATTCGCTTCTTCTTCTTCTTCTTTTCTTCTTCTTCTTTTTCTTCTTCCTTTTCTTCTTCTTCTTCTGCCGACGCACCTCTGACAAATCGTTCTTGTCTTTGTGCCTCATTTTCCTAGGTTGAATTGCATCCCTACTTGACCCAAGAGACGCTCGTCCGCTTTTGCAAAGAGGTGCGTCCGTTTTCTTACATGATCTGTGAACCGTCCCCGCCTTGCACATTTGTTTCTGACCCAAAGCACGCGGTTGTCATGTGCAGAACGATGTGGTGGTCACCGGCTACAGTCCCCTTGGTGCAGGCTCCTACGTGTCCATCAACTCGGCCAAGGAAGAAGAATCGGTTCTCACCGTGCGTTTTTCATGGGCTCTTTCTTACTTGCTCGACAATGGGTGGACTGACTCGATGCCCATGCGCGCTTATACTTGCTCCACTGTGCCCGTCGACCTAGAATCCCATTGTGACGGCCATCGCGGAGCGTGTCAAGCGTACACCAGCCCAGGTACCTGCCACGCCTTTGCTGGTCGTCCAACCCCTCACGGTCTTTGGCTACCACCCGTATTGAGGGAAAGGGTAACTTCGCTGCATCAACTCACACCGGTTCTTCCTGACTAGGTGTGCTTGCGCTGGGCTGTTCAGCGCGGCTACACCATTGTGCCAAAGTCGAGCCAAGAGTCTCGGCTGAAGGAGAACCTGAACCTGTTTGACTTTGAGCTGGCCGACGACGAGATGAAGGCCATCTCCAGCCTCAACTGCAACCGCCGCTTCAACAGTGCGTCACCCCTGATGTTTGGTCACGGCGAAGCTCGCCAGTGTTTCATGTGGTCAATATTCATCTTTCACGGCGTCTTGCTCGCTCATAGACCCGGACGTGTTTTGTGAGCTGGCCTTCAAGCAGTTCTGCCCCATTCACAGTTAAGCGACTCCGATCAGGGCGCCAGTGTGCCTGATGCCAAGGCCGGCAGTTGTTTGCAGAATTCAAAGCTAGTGCCGTTCCCTGAGGTTTTTTGGCATTTCCAGACTATCACCGGATATATTTTTTTTTTTTTTTTGTTGATTTGGAGTTTTTCTATTGGTTCCTTTGATACCAAGAATGTTTTTGCCTGCGGCACAAGGGTAGGGCCGTGGGGCTACGCAGCGAGATACAAAGAGTATGACCAAAACAAGATACAGAGACACACGAGTTTTTAAAAAAAACATGGCGAAGAAAGGTGTGTGGGGGGCTACCGGCACAAATCTACAAGGGAGTTGTCGATGAACGCATGCTTAGGCCTTGGGGCTTGACGTCGTCGTCGTCGTCGTCGTTGTGGTTGTGTCATGGCTCTTGTGCTTCTTGTGCTTCTTGGCAGCGTGCTGTGGCGGCGCGAGCATGTGTTCCGAATGAAGATGAGATGAGCGCATTCTTGGAGACGGCGTGCAGGTAATAAGCACCCAAGCGTACCGAGGCCACGAGGGCAATGATGAGAACAATGATGGCAATCACAATAAAAAGGAGGAGGCAGAACTTTTGGTTCTCCCACCACATGCGGTTCTTCAGTTTGCGTGCGCTGGTCTGGAAACGCTTCGACTGCAAGAAGGCAAGGGACCAATGAGCCTCGAGCATCTGCTTTACGAGTTTTAGATGGGGCCATAGAACGGATCCGGGTCACATGCCTCATGGCTGAGATCCTCGGCCTTTTCGACCATAATGTCAATCTGCTCGCCGCGCTGCAAAACCTTTTCTGTGAGTGGGCCACAGGTATGCAGGAGATGCGTGAGTGAAACACGAATCGGATCGGTGTATCGGTATGAGACAAGCCTTCAAGACGCTCACTCAAAGCCGTGCGTACCAATGTTCTCAACCATGACGTGTTTGACGCCTTCAATTTCACCCCGGGCACGATCAAGGGCATCGTCCGAGCCCTTGTTGAAGGCGGCCATCTGGCGCTTGAGGACGGGCGCAAACTCGCGGTTGAGAGCGTAAGCGATGGAGGACTTGGAGGCCGACTTGTAGGGCTTGAAGTCCTTCATGATCTGGGCCAGGAAGGCAAAAGGTGCACGGCGACCTAGGTGTGGCAAACCGCAGCATGGACATGATTAACATGAGAAGAAGGGGTGGGGAAGGGGCGGTTTGGGGCCAGGATAGGGAAGGGGGATAAGGGATGACGCACCGAAGGATTCGTCGGCAAGGCAGAGGTATACGATGCCATCTTCGCGCACATAGTGGAAAAGGTAGCTGCAAGCGAGGCAAAGAATTCTGACTCAGGACCACGAGGCAAAACAAATAACATGGCGGCAGAAGGCTTGGGGATTAAGGTGGGGCGCGCACCGATCGTAGACGTAGGTGCGGCGCTGGTCCGAGTTGGGAATCTTATCCAAAATGGACTGGGTCACGGTCGTAAAGTTGCCTGATCACGGAGAGGGAAAAGCAAGTGGGCTGTGAGCGATGGAGAAGCAGTGGTGATGGGATGCCACTGCGATGAACATGACAACACGAACCGGAGTTTTCAGTAAACTCGGCAAGGATGGTGTTGTCGCGCGCAACAAGCGCGTAGATGAGGGCCGACATGGTGCCGCGAATGGAGACAAAGGTTGGTGCGTGTGTTTTGCGGCAGTTGTGGCGCTGGCAAATCCCCCCTATCACGGGTGCGGGCATCATGGAGTGACCGAGTGAGTCATGGTGAGCAGGGCACCTCACCCCCGCTCCGCTGCCATCATTGCAGAGCGGCGTGCGAGCGTTTCGAAAAGATGGAGGCATGGCCAGAGAACATTGACGGCAGCGTCTGGGCGAGCGCAAAAGCAACGCCAGCAAACGCGCAAGCGTCGTGCAGACGCATCGAATTTTGTTCACCAAGCCCCTCCCTCCCTCTCTGGGCGCCTCCAGCCGCGCACCACCACGCAGTGCACATGAAAGCACTCACACACACACACACACACACACACACACAGAGCTCAACCACATGCACACGCACACTCCACACACACACACACACACACACACACACACACACACACGGATCCGCGAAACGGGATCCAAAAGGACGGCTGGATCAGCCAAATGCAAATGCCTCCAAGACCACCGCCGGTTATAAAGGAAGTCCACGCGGGGATACAGGAGGCCAGGAGGGGTCGCCCCCTCCGCGCTGCCACTTGCCCAAACGGCAGCGCGCACACACACACACACACTCTCTCTCTCTCTCTCTCTCTCTCTCTCTCTCTCTCTCTCTCTCTCTCTCTCTCTCTCTCTCTCTCTCTCTCTCTCTCTCTCTCTCTCTCTCTCTCTCTCTCTCTCTCTCTCTCTCTCTCTCTCTCTCTCTCTCTTTTTTTTCTGAGTTTGCTGCTTACCGTGGTAAAGTGTGATAAATGTCAGACTAGATGCACACTTTGCCTCTCTCTCTCTCTCTCTCTCTCTCTTTCTTTCTTTGGTGTGGCACTCGATTCAAAAGTATTTCAAGAACAAGGTCCAATACGATTGATCCTAACACTCATGTATCATAAAATAAAATACTTTTATCGTTCACCACGAGTAAAAAAAGTATTTCTCCCCTTTACCGACCAGACGATGTCCCACTCTCCATTAACAAGCAGAGGTATTTTACTTCCTACCGCGTTGAATTTGGTTAGCAACCCCCACAAACACACACACACACACACACACACACACACACACATCGAGTTCGTCAACGAGAGAGAGAGAGAGAGAGAGAGAGAGAGAGAAACGGCAGCGCGGGGTCGGATGCAAGCTGGATGTGCGTGGAGGTGATGGACGGGGGAGAGATGGCTGTTGTCGTTGTCGGGAAGGAAGAGGCGGCATGACTGGAATGGATGGCATTGTGATGGCACAAGGAGTTGGAAGGAGGATGCGAGCTGGCGAGCGCTCTCGACTCACTCGGACCTGTGCTTGCACCGCACTTGTGCTGATCATCCGACCCTAGGCGGCGGCCGTGTGCGGGGCCGTGGTCTTTGAATGCGTTGTTGTCCTGCACCTTTTCAAGTAACGACCCGCCCATGTCGGCATAGATAGCAACCAGACCTATCAGAAATAGGCTCAACGCCGCGCACCCTACAAGACGAAACTCAGCCCACCGCATTGACCCAAGCTTTTACCCCCGGTCATGGCCGGATCTTCTCGCACGGGCTTGCTGCTGCCCAACAATGGTAAGGCCCACTTTTATCAACAGCACGTTCAACCCCCTGCCACTCTCACCCTCACTCTCACTCTCACTCTCACCCTGAAACACCCCGCGCCTAGACATTACGCTGGGCTACCATCCGCTGGAGGACAAGTACTTGACGCCTCACCTCACCAACCCAGCCAATTTCCGCCAGCTGCGCAAGGCTGGCCTTGTCACCAAAGATGGTGAGTTTCTGCAAGCCCCCTCGATCAGAAGTATGCATGCACAGCCTTACAGTTTCCCGCCGTGTCCGAACCAGGCCGGGTGCGCTCGGAGCGAGAGGTGGCAGCTTACTGGCGCCAACGCGACCGGCGCGAACGTGAAACCCAAGCCCTCACCACCCAAATGATGAGCTCGGCGGCCATGGAGCGAAAACGGTACCCCCGACTCTCTTCTTCCTTTGTCTTGCATCTTCTTTCTGTCTTCCATCCTCTTATTCCGTCTCCAACTTGCCCTCATACAACCTGCCGTCGTTTTTTTTTTTTTTTTTTTTTTTTTTCAAATTCTAGTCTGCACGCCCAATTGCAACGCGAAAAAAAAACCCGTTTGCGAGCAGCGCGTCATCGTGAGATTCAGCAGCTGCACATGCGGAATCACAGCGCCCACACCGT